CCCGCGTCTCCTGCATCGGCAGGCGGACTCTCAAGCACTGCGCCACCAGGGAAGCCCTTCTTCGAAATTTTTAAAGAATAACACTAACCAAACTTCTAACAGTTGTCATCCCTAGGGAGGGGCATGGAAGGGAATGAGGAGGGGTGCACAGGAAGGGTAGGATGTGGGGAAAATTAAAGAGGGTCTTTCACTTTTTACTGTATTTATTCCTAGATCATTTGGCTGTTTATAAGAATAAGTTCGTATATTTGTGAAAGAAAAAACAGAAAAGAATCAACCTTTTTTTTTTTTTTTGCTTGCTTCAGAATGCCCCTCACCTCCCATTGTGGAGCACAGGCTCCAGACGTGCAGGCTCAGCAGCCATGGCTCACGGGCCCAGCCGCTCCACAGCATGTGGGATCTTCCCGGGCCGGGGCACGAACCCGTGTCCCCTGTATCGGCAGGCAGACTCTCAACCACTGTGCCACCAGAGAAGCCCAGAATCAGCCATCTTTTAAAAGAGCAGTAATTCACCCGTCAGGATGGCAAAAAGTCTACAAACAGTAAATGCTGGAGAGGGTGTGGAGAAAAGGGAACCCTCCTACACTGTTGGTGGGAATGTAGACTGGTGCAGCCACTATGGAGGACAGTATGGAGGCTCCTTAAGAAAGTAGAAATAGAGCTACCATATGATCCAGCAATCCCACTCCTAGGCATATATCTGGAAAAGATGAAAAGTCTAATTCAAAAAGATACATGCACCCCAATGTTCATAGCAGCACTATTCACAGTAGCCAAGACATGGAAACAACCTAAATGTCCATTGACAGAGGAATGGATAAAGAAGATGTGGTACATATATCTACAACAGACTATTACTCGGCCATAAGAAAGAATGAAATATTTGCAGCAACATGGGTGGACCTAGAGATTATCATACTAAGTGCAGTAAGTCAGAGAAGGACAAACACCATATGATTTCACTTATATGTGGAATCTAAAAAAAATACAAATGAACTTACAAAACAGAAATAGACTCACAGACATAGAAAACAAACTTATGATTACCAAAGGGGAAGGGTAGGGGATAAGTTAGTTCAGGATTAGTAAATACACACCACTATATATAAAATAGATAAACAACAAAGACCTACTGTATGGCACAGGGAACTATATTCAATATCTTGTAATAACCTATAGTGAAGAAAATCTGAAGGTGTACAGCTGAAAGTAACACAATATTGTAAATTAACTATAGTTAAATTTAAAATTTAAAAAAGAGCAGTGATAAAACTATCTTTCATAGTTTCGAGAATGAAACACCAGCTTACCTCGGACTGAAGGACTTACCTAAATACAGACTTAGCTTCCATCTGTGGTTTACGAACATTAACAGAGAGCTACTTGGCTGGCAGCGCAAAGAACTAAGTTATTGCCCTAGTTGTGCCACTAAGTAGCTTCGTTATGTCATTGTGTAACACACGTGAGACTCTGGACTTCTGGAGGACAGGGATAAAGTCTCTTTTGCTCTCTCTAGCCAATGGCATAGGGCCTGGTTCAGAGTTGGTGCTCAATTAAAAGGAAGACGGAATGAGCACTCCCGACAGGATCTGAGTGAAAAGAGGCTTGTGAACACCGACAAATGATCGCCATCTAGTGGCAATACGGGATTCCTGCAGAACTTAGAGATGAGCGGAAACTGACTATGGGGTGTGCTTCAGGGACTCCTTTCAACTCCTGTCGAAACGACTATGTCCCTCATTATAAAAAGTTCCCAACCATAGCCTGAGAGGCCCAGGTTTATGTCTCGGAGTGTTGGTAAGATGACATCTAGGTAGTCTTGTGTCCTAAGTCTCCTTCACCACCCCATCACATTCCCCACATGCCTATAAACTGTGCAAAGTCCACACCTGCCACACCTCCACTGCACCTCAAGAGAACAAAACACATGTAATAAGACGTACGGACACCCATGCCTTCCCGAGGTGGGTGAAGGGCTAATAAAGTTTCCTAAGCCAGTGTGGTCAGGACAAAATAGAAAACAGGACTGGAAAAACATCCGCCACGAACTTTGCACTCCAGGTTCAGCACCTTCCTGCATCATCTGACAATATGCCGTAAACATTTAAGATGTCTCACATTCCGAAGGGCAACAAGGAGAGCTACCTCGAGCTGGTTTTGTAAGTGCTGCACTCTGTGACAGACCCTCACCTGAATATCATGAGTCTTCAAAGCAGATGCACCGTTGGCGAAGCAGCTGGGTGCCTTAGAGGCTGAGTAATAGTGGACCTCGTGTCTATAGACTCGGGGACTCAAAAAGAATGATGAAGGTAAACAATGGTAGTAATCAGAAGAATCTAGGTGTGTCTACGTCTATGGCATCTACACGCTAAGTGGAACATGCCTCTAAAACGCTGCTCAGCGGAACAAACGGCAGAAAACTTCGCAAAGAGGGCTTCCCTGGTGGCGCAGTGGTTCAGAATCTGCCTGCCAATGCAGGGGACACAGGGTTCAAGCCCTGGTCTGGGAAGATCCCACATGCCGTGGAGCAACTGGGCCCGTGAGCCACAATTACTGAGCCTGCGCATCTGGAGCCCGTGCTCCGCAACAGGAGAGGCCGCGACAGTGAGAGGCCCGCGCACCGCAATGAAGAGCGGCCCCCGCTCGCCGCAACTAGAGAAAGCCCTCGCACAGAAACGAAGACCCAACACAGCCATAAATAAATTAATTAATTAATTTTAAAAAGAAAAAAACTTCGCTTAGAGTCGCAAGAGACGGCCACTAGTGTAGTCCCGGGTAAATGAAGAAAGGGGTCTGAGCAGCTGTACGTTGCTTGTCCTGAGGACGCGGGTGGACATAATGAATGTTCGAGCTGTGGCTCGTACATTTAAGGTGTGCTCTCCCGAGTGCCCCTTGTCTCACCCTAGCAAAAGTCCATGGTTACCAGAGGTTCTCGAAAAGCGCAGTGCCTGCAGAAAGGAGAAGCTGAGAAGCGACACCCTGAGGAAGGCTGCGGACGGTCGTGTCCGACGACAGCTCCGCGGGAAGACGGTGCTCGCGGCCCCGGGGGAAAGCAGAGCCTCTGCGCCCGCCCCGTGCAGGCGGCGCGTCCCGGGGTCCCTGTCTCTCTCCCCCGCCGCGGCACGGCGACAGGGCCGCTTTTTCGGGAGG